TTTTTGCCTTATAGAATAATAATAATTTATACGGCCATCAAACATTCTTTACATGCATTGAAGATACTACTGGAAAGTCATTTGGTGTTTTTTTAATGAACAGCAATGCAATGGGTAAGAATAATTTATTTGATAATATGTTTAAAGACGGCATACATGGTGCAATTCTACTTTTCTCCTGTGTTATCCCTACAATCAACATCTTATTTCTTCTCAATTATTTAAAAATAGTGTAAAATAATCTGGTTAATATAAAGTACTTTAAATCAATTTTGCAATTATTTTATTACTATGTACCTTTCTGCCATTTACATGTACTTTTTGAATTTTTATTCTGTAGAAATTTTCATCCAGCCTACCCCTATAGTAACTTACAGAGTTACTGGTGGCATTCTGGATTTTTACATCTTTCTGGGAGATACACCAGAACAAGTAGTTCAACAATATCAAGAGGTGTGTTTTAGTTCTATTTTATAAAAATCTTTTCTGCCAGACTTTTCTTTCATCTAACATGTTTACATATTTAGATAACTTTATTTTACTTATCAGGGACCTCTTAGCTAATTGTATTTTAAAGACTTACCATTTTAAGGATACAAATAGATGGTTTTTATTTTTCTTCTACACAGTGAACTTTATGTATACTTAAATGTCCGTATTTCTAATTTCAAAATGGTTTCTTGCCTCTAGGCTTCTGGGTTCTTTGATATGTTGCACAGTATATCTTCACTTATTCATAATTTACTTTAGTGGAATAAAGCAAAGAAAGGGAAGTATCTTATCCTCACCACTGAGGATAGGCAATGAATTTTGTAGATCATGTATTCTTTTAATCAAAATCCTAGGGTAACTGAGTTGTGAGAAAGGCCAGTAAAACTCGCTATAAATGTATAGCAGACAAACTTCAGGAAAACTGGCTTTCATTCTCAGGCTGAAAGAGGGTCGAGTTTGAAACCTAGTCTGAAGCCTTACATCTTAAGTAACTATCTAAGCAACTCTCACTTACATATTAAATAGCATCTTAGTGTACCTGAACCCAAGATAGACTCAGACAGGTGAGGAATCCAGGACTTTCACCGAGCCTGATTCTAAAAGTTCCTCCCATGTAATTGTTCTCCCATAATGTTTGGCACATACGATTCCTAGTATTATCATGGAAAAGGAAATTATTTTCATTGGTATAAGATTCAAAGATCATGTCTATTTAAAAAAATCTTACTTTCTTAATTTACTTCTTGATATATAATTTGCATTTCCAAAAATAATCTCAAAGTATTTACTATCAAAAAAATTCTTCAGTTAGGATACAGAAATCTGACATGAGTGTAGCTAGAATTTTACACGGTTGAATCATTTACAGTGTATAACAATTCCTATATTTCTGTACATAAATGTGAATTTTAAGAAAAAAGCACACAAATTTCTAGTTTCTGTAATATAAAATTATAATTACATTTCAGGGCTGGCCTGGTTGTATACCTTTGTATATGGTTATCACATAAAAAAAAAAAAAAGAGGGACCATATCCTTTTAGTAAGAATTTGACATTTGATTGGTCAAACATTTGTTGGCATAGTTGTGTCAGGTTAATGCCAAATGAAGTGTGTGGTCACCAGTAGTTGAGTTGAATTTGAAACATGTTTGACACGTGAATGCACCATGCATACAGTATAGTGGTGTACTTGCTTACAACATTTTGTGGGTAGACTTGTAGAAGCTTGAAGCTAAGCTGTGAAGTGAAAGATTGGTGTAAAATATAGCACTAATAACTACTGCTGCATTTAAATGAGGTTCCAATTGTGTAGAGAGTAGGCAGAAGAAACTTTATTTCTTATTTGAAGAAAAATAAATTATCTTTTGTGTATTAATAAGCTAAGCTATTAGAGGTCTCAATTTGCTAAAGTTAAAACATAATTAATTTGAACGACCAGATTGTTTTATCAGGCTTTTTCAACCTATTTTTTTTATTTCAAAGTATTAAGGAGGTACAAATGTTTTTGGTTACACGAATTGCTTTTGTAGTCTTGCGTCGTGGCTATAAGTGTGCCTATCACCCAAATAGAGCTCATAGTACCCATTAGGTAAGTTTTCGCCCCTCCCCTCCTTTCCCCTGCTCCCTGCTTGATTTCCTTTAAATTTTACATTCCTCTGTGCAAATGTGTGCTCATCAGTTAGTTCCAATTTATTCAGTTTTAAAGGCAATGTATACATATAAATTATAAAATAAATAATACTTAAATAAATA